ACTGACGGTATTTCTATGGACCCCGCCAAGGTTGCCGCCATTCGCGATTGGCCCACTCCCTCTTCCGTTTCGGATGTCCAGTGCTTTCTGGGTTTCTCCAACTTCTACCGTCGTTTTGTACGGAAATACTCCCATATCGCCGCGCCTCTCACTGCGTTACTCAAGAAAAATACTAACTTTGTCTGGACCGCTATCGCACAAGCCGCTTTCACGGAGCTCAAGTCACGCTTCATGTCTGGCCCCGTCCTTCGGCATTTCCAACCAGATCGCCCCTGCATCATTGAAACTGACGCTTCTGACAAGGCCCTCGGCGCTGTCTGCAGTCAGCGTGACCAAGATGGACGCCTACATCCTATCGCTTACTACTCCCGAAAACTATTGCCTGCTGAACTCAACTATCAGATCTACGACAAAGAACTCCTTGCCATTGTGTCTGCCTTTAAACATTGGCGACACTACCTGGAATTCTCGCCCGCTACCACGGAAGTCATCACCGACCACAGAAATCTTGAGTACTTTACCACCACGCGCCAATTGAGCCGCCGTCAAGTCCGCTGGTCTGAAATCTTGTCTGACTACAACTTTACCATCCATTACCGCCCTGGCTCCCAGAATGCCGCTGCCGATGCTTTGTCCCGGCGGGACAACCCTGGAGAGGGAGGTGCGGCCCAGCACGGCAAGACCGAGATGACCCTCCTACCGCCGATCCAGATTCTGAACACCATCCAGGCCCGGTCACTGCAACCAGAGACGCCAGCGATCCAGGAAAAAATCAAGACACTAATCCCCGATGATCTATACTTTGGTCCAATACTCGCCAAGACCGCAAAGTCGAACTCGGACAATGCCCAGTACTCAATTCAAGATGGGCTACTCCTGCGGGATGGCCTTGTCTGCGTCCCCGACGATCCCGAACTCAAGAAACAAATCCTTCAAGAATGTCACGACGCCCCAACCGCCGGTCATTTTGGAATTACCAAGACCTCAGACCTTGTCAGTCGAACCTTTTACTGGCCTTCCATGTGGCGTTACATCAAGGATTACATCAACGGTTGTGACACCTGCCAACGGACAAAGTCATCCACTCACAAGCCTTATGGACTTTTACAACCCCTGCCTGTACCAGATCGCCCCTGGACCTCAGTATCGATGGATTTCATCACCCAACTCCCCCCCTCAAACGGCTATACGGCAATCTGTGTTTTTGTGGACCGATTCACCAAGATGGCACACTTTGTCCCCACCTACGACAACATCAATGCACAGGATACGGTCTGTTTGTTCCTAGAACGCGTATTTTCAGCCCACGGTCTCCCGGATGACATTGTTTCTGACAGAGGCGCCACCTTCACTTCAGCCTTCGTTTCCACCATGTTCAAGTCTCTGGGGATCAATCAGAAGCTTTCTACCGCCTACCACCAACGCACCGATGGACAGACCGAGAGAGTAAGGAGGCCTTTCAAGTCCAAATTATCATATGGTGTTTGTTACATCTCTGCAGATCTTGACGATATCCACCGCGTCCATTAGAGGAGAGTGTATGTATGATACCAAGCATATAAGACAACCATTGTAACATTTTTTGTTTAACTATCCTACTAAACACCAACCTATTCTCCAAACAACAAAGTCTTCTTATTTTTCGCACACCAAACTCTTGAATATGTCCATCTACTATTAACCTGTAACCCTCACTGCAAGATTCGACAGAGTAGTTCTTGTATGTGATCATCTAATGCACTTGTATTCTCAACTGTATCTTTGTCGTGAAATACAGGGGAGAGATTACATTTTAAAAATTCTTGTGCTGTCTATTGCTATTTTATTCTGTGTTCTGTTGCCCACTATGAAGAGATATGCCAGTTATGGAAGTCAACACTCCGTTCCTTGGACTTTGGATATTTTTTATATGCCTTTTTATATCCTCTGCACATGAAGGGGCCGCTAAATTCAATACTGGAACAGTACCTACGAGGGTATATCGACTATCAGCAAACGGACTGGAGCACCCTTCTACCGATAGCAGAATTTGCATACAACAACGCAACACACTCAACAACAAAAACAACACCATTCTTTGCCAACCTCGGCTACCATCCGAAATTTACCATCACCATCCCAAGAGTCTCGAAGGACAATGTCCCAGCCCAAGAACGCGTCCAGGCCCTAAAGAACCTCTATGCGGAGATGCAACTCAATATCCACACCGCCATTGAACAGCATGCCAGGAACTTCGACACCAAGGCCCAACCACAACCCAATCTGCAAGTAGGAGATCTTGTATGGCTAGACGCCCGGAACCTCCAAACGAACAGACCATGCAAGAAGCTCGACCATAAGCGCATGGGCCCTTACCGTATTCTCGAAAAAATCGGCACTCGATCCTTCCGTCTCGATTTACCACCAACGACCAAGCTACATCCTGTCTTTCATGTAAACTTACTTGAGCGTGCGCATCCAGATACGATCCCCGGTCGAGCCTCAAAACGACCTCCTCCGCTTGTCGTCTCCGGCGATGAGGAGTACGAGGTTGAGGCCATTTTGGATTCACGGATCAGGCGCAACCACCTTGAATACTATATACATTGGAGAGGCTACCCCGTATCCGAACGAACCTGGGAACCGGCCGCCTGTGTCAAGAATTCCCCGGACCTTGTTCGCGAGTTCCATCTGCAACACCCTCACAAACCCAGCCAAAGGCCTCTTGGAACTCGGCCCTAGAGGGGGAGGTTGTCACGAGACAAGAGCTTGCTCTTGTGACTTCGCCCTAACGAGTATAAAAGGGCCTTAGATAGCAAATCTATAGCTCTTTACTTGGTATCGCCAATACAACATACTCTTTAACCTATTCCTTATACTCATTTCTTAGTCCTTGATCAAGGTTCTCTTTATCTACTTCATTCTATTGCTTGGTCTGCTTTCTTGACAAGAACATTCAACGCCAACTGAGCACATTGCACACACCGGCTTCGTGAGACAATGCTGGATAAGTGTGACTCTATCAGCATACTACCACACGGTCGCGGCCCTCTCGCCCTGACGAGGGATTCGCGCCCATACGTGAGACACAATGAATGCATCTCCGTAGTGTTAGCAGCCTTCCCGGCGCAGGAGTCAACCCTCCCGAAAGAGGGGACCACTTGCCCGAGCCGATAGAGCACTCCAGAGCAAATGGCAAAACACACCAGATCGTGCAACAAACGAAAACAGTAACTAGGCACCTCACCTGCTACACAATGGTCGGCTGAGTTACGGGAAGAGAGAGAGAGAGAGAGAGATGAAAAGGAACAGAGGGATGAGAGAAGATGAGAAAAGAAAAGTTTCTTGCATTGTTATCAAATATTAAAAAGAAACGTCATCAGAGATTAAAAAAGATACGTCATCAGATATTAGGGGCGCAGGACAAAGGACGCCACAATTCTCCTATTGGCTGAAAGAATCAATGGGATCTTTCCTAATATGGATCGAAATTAACTGTCAATTGACACTAGGCTCGGTTCAGACTATTCAGATTACGAGGGTTGGGAATCCAATTCCCAATCTAAGGAGGATGTGGACATCCTCCTAAGTCCCTCCATCAGAAAAGGCTGGTAAAAAATGTGGACTATTATTGGCGTCGAACTTAAAAAAGGAAATTCGTTATTTTCCTCCTAAGTTTTTCGTGCAATTATCAATTACATATCGGTCAATTGTCAATTAAAAAGGGTTGGCAGCGTCAATTTACAAAAAAAGGAAGGCGTACTGATGCCGTGCAGAGTCTCAATTTACGAAAATGGAAGGCGCACTGTTCTCGTGTGACCACTGGATATGTGCTAAGGCCGTGTAACTTGGTGTGCTGAGCCGTGTAATATGGAGCGTGCCATGGCAATACAGCTTAACCATGGGGTTTGACATGCAACAAGAAAACCATTGCATTACAGTTTTTTGTTCTTTACCTTCTTCACTCCTCCTCCCTCCTTTCTCTCTCGCGCTCTTTCCCCTCACCCTTGCATAATACACACGCTGTCACGAGACAAGAGCTTGCTCTTGTGACTTCGCCCTAACAAGTATAAAAGGGCCTTAGATAGCAAATCTATAGCTCTTTACTTGGTATCGCCAATACAACATACGCTTTAACCTATTCCTTATACTCATTTCTTAGTCCTTGATCAAGGTTCTCTTTATCTACTTCATTCTATTGCTTGGTCTGCTTTCTTGACACACGCATACACACGCGTACACACACACACACGCATACACACACACACACACACGCTCTCCTGTCCATTTCTCGGCCTATTAACCCTCTCATCAGCCATCTGTCACTAGTCACCAGCCTCTTTCGTTTCGTTGCCACTTCACCTTTCTACCCGCCATCGCTTCAGTACTCTCTAGTATGATCTTTATCCATCAGAATATCGTAGGATCCAATACCAGCACAAGGCGCCCACTTCGCCAACGGACTGGAATGCTTTAAGAGTGTTCAAATTTATCGACGGCATTGACGACTTTTCCTTCCGCGATTTTCTGCTTACTGCCTTCAATTCTAAGCATGAAAGGGTGAAATACTATGTCAATCAGTTCTACGCGCGCGGGGGTCACAAGGCTGTAGTCGAGTGTTGGGACAAGACCCTGTACAAAGGCGAATATGACGGTCCGGTTGCCAGTTCCGTGACGACTGCTTTGGTACGACGCGTGGAGATCGAGCTAGAAAAGGTCATTGGTGATGGCCGCCTTCGATGTCCAGCTTGGGGGTACCTCCGGAACACCATGGAGACCTTTGATCTTGAAACCATCGATGATCTTCTTCACTCTAAGGCGCCTTGCCTTGCCACCTGTTGTAGCAAGGGAGTTATGATAATAAAGTAGTGAGGGAAAAGTGTAGAAAAGGATGTGTTCAGGAGGTGAGCGGGACAGAAACATATCCTCTTTATTTTGGAATCTGCCTATCTTAAATAACCCTCTTAGCACGTGAGTAAACATGCACCTACTGCGACTAGCAGATGCTAAACATCTCACACATGTTGTGCACGTACACAACACCACCCTTTTAACAGGATTGCGAGGAAAACGATCTTCTTACGATTTCGCCTTTGTCCCTGTCGTTGGTTCAATGATCGTTTTCAGGAAGAGCCAACAGTCGAACTATCTACAGATGGCTATTGGTACGTCTTCAAATCAACTTTTCTTTCTCTCTTCTCCTAGGACCGTGCATTGTATAATTATCAAGTTGAAAACTGACGAGCAAATAATGCACTTAAATTTTAGGACTTTATCTGCACAGCTTGGCGTGTCCAAAAAGGATCGTAAACGCGATGGCAGCCATGAGCCTGTCCGTATCATATCCAACCGCGTACCTTTCGTTGAAGGCGTTGGCTGACGATGGCCTCACCCAAGTCCGAAAACTTGCAAGGACGCATCAATGGATCCTTATCTACGACAACATCAACTATTACGACTCAAAGTTCAACCAGAGACTCGACAACCGCAATGTAGTCGTGAGCGGAGTCACCTTGACAATCGTCATCAGTCGGCATCAGGATGATGACCTCAGCCAGGATGCTCTGCTTCCCCTCCCCGATCGCCCTCCACTGAAGGACCTTTATCCCCGGCAAGTTAATGATGAACGCCTTCGCCACGCTTCGCTTTTTTTTCTTTTCGACTGCTTACAGCGACATCACGAGCCATTCCAACACTATGCCGTCCCGTTCAGAATTCGCCCAATCAGCCCGCTGGATGTTTCAAAGACCTGGGCATTTGAGATCCCCGCTATGGACATCGACCAATCTTCTCTCGACGGCAACATGCGAGTCCTCGAGGAAGTCAAGAAACTGCTTCAGCTGGATGATGAGTGGTTCAGAAATCATGTCGTTATTGTGGGAGGCAATCAGCTGACGGTTTCGAGGGTCAGGACGATGATAAGATACCGCGCTCCGGATGTCTCGGCGTTCAATCGGTTGCAGTGGGCGATCCCTGTCCTACAGCTTTTCCATCTTCAGATGATTGTGTGTGGCACCATCCTTCGCACTCATTATGGGCATATCACATCACCGGGGTCATTGGCGTACAACATCGGCAAGCTGGGACGGAAGCGCGTCGATAAGACGATGCCGTGCTATTACACTGCGAATGAGTTGCTGCGGAATGAAAATTTTTACGCTAGTCACGCACAATCGAATTGATAAGACAAGAGAGGGATCTTTGTTAACAGCCCAGACACCTCCATTTATGTCGGTGTCTGGTCATATGACTAAATTACTGTCTCTAGCCTAATTACATTAGCTGACACCCCCGAGACAGGCAAATATGCGACACGGAACACCTTTGACGCGATGGTCAGGCGAATGTGGCTGGTGGAGCTGGATCGGAAGAGGCTGGATACTTTGGAGAACGATGTTAGTGGATTTTGGGCTGGAGTTGATTGTTATCTCATGGAGGACAGGCAGTGGTTCATCAACCACGTCTTGATGACCAAGGCCCGGGCGATCAGGGACAAATACCTCGCCAACTCAGCAACACTGTCACAAACACTCGGCACAGCAAACATCAACGCAGCACTTTTTGTCAGGGACATGGTGGCTTACATGGAGCTTTCGGCAGCCATCAAGGCCGGGGACATTGGCGACTCGAGGCAATCCTGAAGACGATCACTATCATGTTGCAGGCAGGCAACAACCCCAACTACGCACAAGAAATGTTACTCATCCATTACGGAACACAGTATTTATGGTCTCCGTTGAGGAAGAGGGCTATTTTTTCGTCTATGCTCATGAACACCAAGGGCAAGGAGAACAGCTGGATTCCTTCTGACTTATATCAGGAGCATAACATCCACAAGACAAAGCAGAGCATAGCCCGTAGGGGGAGCAATAGGACAAAGTCAACAATCAAGGACATCACAACTTCCACTATTCGTTCTGTTTCAATAATCGCCATTCGCCTTGACAAGCAACTTTGGGTATCTTTCAACAGCAGTTTTCACACGACAAAGGACGCCGAAAAGGACATTCTCAAAATCAGCAACTCACTCGTAGACAACAATATTCTTGGCAAGGACCCGTTCCCGGCGGCACTCGATCATGTGGAGCCAGTGACGGATCTTATGAGTGAAGGCTTGAAGAGGTTGCATGGTGGGCAGTTCCAAGCATTCGTCGAGCGCATGGCAAGACTCGGTCCGATCAATACGGAGGAAGAACTTCAAGTGTTATTAGAGGAGGACACGAGAAACATGGAGAGAGATATCAACAATGAAAACATGGATGTTTACAAACATATCGAACGCATCGTTGGTTTGTGTGAATAATAAAATGAGTGTTACTTTGATTTTTTGTTATAAGGGCGCTTGGGTTTGGATATCAATTGGTCGGGTGTCCATGCTTTCCAGACTTGATTAACCAAGGTTGTAACTTGGCGTTTTGGTGTAATAATCGCTGAGCTGCTACTGGATGCGCTCTCCTGGTATGTGCTAGTCAGGTTTGTTGGACTGTCGAGTATCTGGGCAGTAGAACCTGTTCCTTGAGATGACTGCTGCGAAATAGTCAGGTTCTGCCATGTTTGTTGAGGTTGATTGAATGTTGGTATTGCGTTGTCAATAGCTCTGTTCAGCTCAATAAGGTCATTGGCGAGCGTGTTTAAGGCGTAGTCGTCGTCAGGCCTCCAATTCAGGATCAGCTCTATAGATTCAACAGCCTTGACCTTCTCGAACTCCTTTGCCAGCTTGTCGATCTTCTTGTCCTCCATCAAAACATCCGCGGTCGAAAACATACACAGCTCTGCATAGATCTCCTCGTGCATGCGCTCTCTCCAGGCAAGAATTATATCCTTGGCTTGCTCCTTCTGCTCTGTAGTCCGTGTCGCGCTCCTGTTGGCTGTCAATGACTTTGCGGAGACCTCCACAAAAGTGATCTCCTTTGACCGGATCGTTCTCTTTGTCGGATGGCAATTGTCGCAACAGTTCTTGTTGGGTTCAGAAGTGTTGCCAAATTTTTCATCCAAGACCGCCCTCCGACAACCTGTGGTCTTGAAGAAAAAGTCGATATCCTTGTTGGCGTGTTTTCTTTTCTCGGATGGCGGAGCGATGAGTAATATTCCTGTTCCTTGGATTTCAGGATCCCGAGCTGCACGACCAAGTCGCTGAACCAAAGTCACCAGCGTATTCTTCCACCAACAACCGAACTGTATAACACGAGCTACATCTCTGACATCGCAACCCATACCGGCAGCCTCGGTCGCTGTAATAGGAACAGAGATAAAGGCCAGGGGACAAGGACAAGGACAAGGAAGAGACAAGAGTAAACAGGGACAAGGACAAGAAAGAGACAAGAGGGAACAGGAGAGCAAGGTTGAAAGGTGCAAGAATTGATGATGGTGTTATTACGAGGATTGGGACTATATATACAGAGTGGATGTTGCTGACTAATGGGCGCTGACTAATGGAAGTGCTGACTAATGGGGTGCTGACTAATGGGGTGCTGACTGGAAAATAATAACCGGGGTTGTGATAAGCAATGAGGTTATGGAAAAAGGGAATAACGAAACAAAGAGAGGGATCTGTTTAATTCAGGGACGAAGAGTCCTTATGTACTCTTCGTCCTAATGATACACGTGATTATAGCACATAACCCTCCACGGGGGGAGAGGCTGTAAGCCGGGCTTAAGATTAGGGCTAGAAGTAGTGTATCTATGCTAGTAATTGTGTGTGCTTCTTACTAACTGACAAAACGACGTGGAGTAGAGTACTATGACTAAACGAAAGAGTTGTCGTTTGGATGTTTGAGGGGAAAAAAGGAAACCTCATATGAAAGAACGGGTATAAGGGAAAAATAGAAAAACCTTGGAAGGGCAAAGCCCTGGAGAGCAGGTGTAGAAAAGACAATAATGACTACAGTAGAATATGTATATGTGTGTGTGAGGATAAAAATAAAAACCTCGGTAGATATGTTGATAAGCTGTGAGGAAAAAATAAAAACCTCAATATAGTGAATTTGATTGCAAGAGGAAAGCGGGAAAACCTCTGCGGATGTTTGTTATTATTGTGAGGAAAAAGGTTGTGGCACCATTAAAAAACCTCGAACAAATCGTCAGTGCGATTTTTGTTCAAACAAAACGTCGATGCGTTTTATGTGTCAATCGGAGGATATCAATCCTTCCCGATCCGAGAACGAGTTCTAGGTCTCAACTCATTGATTTTTGATTGACTGGACTGAGTGAGCTTATTGCGATTAAGGTTGTGTTCACCTTTTTTAGAACTTGTTCTTCTTTTTGTTCGAGCGATTGCTACTGTGAGGTTCGCTCATTTGCTCGTCGGTGGTAAGCGTTGGCTGATCCGTTTGCGAATCATGACGAGAGTGCGGACGAGGATCCTCATTACGGGGTGGGTGATCGGCCCAATAGTCCGTGATGCATTTCCTCTCAACAAAATTGTCCTCTGGTTCCCAGGTGTTGTCGTTATCAGAATAATTTCTCCACTTGACAAAGTACTCCCATGTCCCTTCCTTTGTACAACGAGCGTCAAGAACTTTCTCGACTTCGTACGTAAGGAAAGAGTCTGGGTCTTCATATACAAGTTTGAGCTGCGAGGGCGCATAGTTACGACCAAGCATAGAGCCAGTGCCATCTTTGAGGATGTATGCACCGCCCTTGTTTTTACCAACAACAGTAAACGGTCCTTCATATCTCGGAGAGGGAGTCTCCTTTGATAGGATCAACCGCCATAACTGTGGAACCATCAGGAAATTCGTTGTGCAGTATCGTTTTATTGAATCTCTCAATCATTTTCCGCTGATTAGATTTCGCCTTCGCTTCAATAGCGGGGAACACGATCGTGGTCATAAATTCGAGTCTCTTCAGCAAGTCTTCATGGGACATGACCTGGTTCGAGAGGTCAGTGTAATTGTAGTGTCCGTTTTCCTTGCGTGCGAAGAAAAGAGAGTAAGGCGTGGAACCATGCAGACTCGCAATGTTTGCATTGAGGGCAAATTGGGCCATGGGAACATGACGATCCCATTCGTGGTTTTTGCCTTTGGTCTCTTTTCGAAGAATTTCTTTGACCGCTTTAACCCGGTTCTCGGCTAGTCCATTGCCTCTCGGATGATAGGGTGTGACAAGACGGTGATGGATACCCAATTGTTCTGTCATTGTTTTTGTGACCTGATTGGAAAATTCTTTTCCGTTATCTGATTGAAGGACTCGGGGGAATCCGATCAGGGTAAAAATGTCAAACAGCGTGGTCGCAACAGTAGCGGCTGTTTTATCAGGTATAGCTCTCAAAATAACGAAGCGGGTGCATACGTCTGTCAGGACGAGAAGATATTTGTTGTTTTTCGAGGACAAATGGAATTCACCAGCGAGATCTACAGTCATATGCTCGCCTGGTAAATGTGCATGAATAGCCTTGAGGGGATGGTACCCTTTGCGAGTGATATTAATGCGTTGACACTCAGGGCATTGTTTGACGTGCTCAAGACAATCCTTGACCATGAATGGCCACGTCTTATCTTGGGCGTGAATTTTGTCAACCATTTTGTTCGCACCAATGTGACCGAGGGAGTGAACCTCAGTCATGAGTGAAGGACGGTCTTTCGCCGCGACAGTGATTCTAGGAACCGATTTGTCTTTGAGCATATGAATGTAGCCGTACACTTTCATTGGTGTTTTCAACTTAGGCCTGTCAGTCCACAACTTCTGAGGGAACTGACGAGATAACGCATCAGGTAACACATTGAGTACTCCAGGACGGTAAACAATGTTGAACGAGTAAGCCATGATGGTGTCAAACCAAGTTGTCATCATTGGGTTCAAATCTTGCTGTGAGTGAAGAAAAGTAAGAGCCCGATGATCGGTGAACAAGGTAAAATGGTAACCCCAAAGATATTGATGGAATTTTTTCAATGCGAAAACGATCGCTAATAACTCCTTCTTAGTAGCGGAATATTTTCTCTCTCGGTCCTGCAAAGTGCGAGCCATGAAAGATATGTAGTTGACGTTCGAGGGAACGGACTGCATATCCTTCGGTTCGGGTACACCTTCCGGCAACTGATACAGTACCGCACCAATTCCAACGTTGGACGCGTCCGTGGCAACGTAGAACGGTCGACTGAAGTCTGGGAAGGATAACACAGGAGCTCGTACAAGTAGTTCCTTGAGTCCATTGAAAGAATCCATTTCATCTTTTGATAATTTAAAAGTTCCTTCTCTGTAACGAAGTGCATCAAGTGGTGCAGCAATAGTACTGTAGAGAGGGATATATTCACGAAAGAAATTGAGGGTGCCCAAATATGATTGCACTTGTTTGGCAGTGGTAGGTGGTGCCCATTCGTGAATGTTAGCCAACTTGGTAGGGTCGACTTTCTTTCCAAAGAGATCAACAATGAATCCCAGCAGAGAGATCTGTGTGCTGAAAAAATTGCACTTGTTCTTGTTGATGATCAATTTCGCCTCGTTGAGTCTTTCGATCACACATTTGACATGAGCTGCATGCTCTTCTCTGCTTTTTGAAAAGATAACAATGTCACCAATAAAGTTCAGAACAAAAGGCAAATCGCCAAGTATGCGAGACATACCTCTTTGGAACAAGCTCGAGAGTGGCTTCAGACCAAAGGGGGCCTTTTTGAACATGTATTGTTTTCCCTCATGCATGAAA